AACAGATATCGGCTACTTAGTCACTAATTGAAGCTCACGGCTGAAAAGGGAGGAGGTTGGGGAGGGGAGTCTCGCTAACAAATCCTGCAGCCCCTTTAGTTGACTAGCTAATAGCCCATGTGGCTCTCTATGTTGTCTAGCTAATGGTTAATGTGGCTCTCCCTAAAGTCTAGATAATGGCCCATTTGGCTCTCCATGTTGTCTAGCTAATGGCCCATTTGGCTCTCAGTATTGTATAGATAATGACCCATTTGGCTCTCCGTATTGTCTAGCTAATGGCCCATTTGGCTCTCAGTATTGTCTAGATAATGAACCATTTGGCTCTCCATGTTGTCTAGCTAATGGCCCATTTGGCTCTCCGTATTGTCTAGATAATGGCCTAGAGATCATACATGTTATTAAACATGACGTACTCAAGAAACCCCCATGTTCTGTTGAGTCATATGAGCCATTGTACGGTAAGTGAAATAGGAGCCACCAACTTGACAACATGGAGAGCCACATGAGCCATTAGCTATACAACACGTCATGTTTAATAACATGTATGATTTCTGGGGTATTCAAATATTCCTTGAGTGTATCAGGTTCTGGGGCCTCTGAATCCTTATAGAACCTTACAAAATGCGCCTAAGACGTCACATTTCTTTAGTCCACATATTGGCTAATGAATGCGAATCATTGATTGATATCGATCTCGAACTGATTAGGTGATAGACGTCCAGCCGTGATTGCCTGTCGGAAGAACACAAATCTGCCACTACAGAACCTTTGAACTTCCCCCCCCCCCCCAGGGCCCGACCAACCTTATAGAGGCGACCAACACTAGCCCAGTCTTCTACTCTGCCAGTGTGTGTATTGGTCTGCTGCTGAAACCAGATTAGCGTCTTGACATATAGTCTTTGCTCATTGAGTTTTTCTTGTATAGAAATATATAGTCAAACATAGTTAACAATCGTAATCGGTATTTAAAAATCTCATATTGAATAAACCGTCTTAATACAGCCCTCAGTTTAAATAAACATTCCGTTTACAAAAAAAAATATTTTCTATACAGGCCTACTGTTGCAGTTTAAATACAAATTCCGATTACAAAAAAAAATTATTTTCTATACAGACCTACTATTTCAGTTTAAATAAACATTCGGTTTACAAAAATTATTTTCTATACAGGCCTACTGTTGCAGTTTAAATAAACATTCGGTTTACAAAAATTATTTTCTATACAGGCCTACTAATGCAGTTTAAATAAACATTCGGTTTACAAAAATTATTTTCTATACAGTCCTACTAATGCAGTTTAAATAAACATTCGGTTTACAAAAATTATTTTCTATACAGGCCTACTAATGCAGTTTAAATAAACATTCGGTTTACAAAAATTATTTTCTATACAGGCCTACTAATGCAGTTTAAATAAACATTCGGTTTACAAAAATTATTTTCTATACAGGCCTACTAATGCAGTTTAAATAAACATTCGGTTTACAAAAATTATTTTCTATACAGGCCTACTAGTGCAGTTTAAATAAACATTTGGTTTACAAAAATTATTTTCTATACAGGCCTACTAATGCAGTTTAAATAAACATTCGGTTTACAAAAATTATTTTCTATACAGGCCTACTAGTGCAGTTTAAATAAACATTCGGTTTACAAAAATTATTTTCTATACAGGCCTACTAATGCAGTTTAAATAAACATTCGGTTTACAAAAATTATTTTCTATACAGGCCTACTAATGCAGTTTAAATAAACATTCGGTTTACAAAAATTATTTTCTATACAGGCCTACTAATGCAGTTTAAATAAACATTCGGTTTACAAAAATTATTTTCTATACAGGCCTACTAATGCAGTTTAAATAAACATTCGGTTTACAAAAATTATTTTCTATACAGGCCTACTGTTGCAGTTTAAAATGGTCAGAACAAACGTAGAGGTTAGAGATGTTTTAAAACTAGAACCTTCCCCCCCCCCCCAAACAAACACACACACAACACAAATGTAAACTAGAATCCCCCCCATACACAACACAGATTTAAACTAGAACCTCCCCCACACACACCACATATGTACACTAGAACCTCCCACACACACCAAATATGTAAACTTGAACCCCCCCCCCCCCCCAAACACACACAACACAGATTTCAACTAGAACCCCCCCCCCCCCCCCACACACACACAGCAAATATGTAAACTTGAACCCCCCCCCCCACACACACACAACACAGATTTCAACTAGAACCCCCCCCCCCACACACACACACACAGCACATATGTACACTAGAACCCCCCCCCCCCCATACACAACACATATGTAAACTAGAACCCCCCTCACACACACACAACACATATGTAAACTACCCCCCCCCACGGCACAGATTTAAACTAGAACCACCCCCCCCACACGCACAACACAGATTTCAACTAGAACCACCCAGTGGCGTAGCCAGGATCGTCTCAAGGGGGGGGGGGGTTCCAATTTTTACTCGGGGACAAACTTTCGATTTGCACCCCCCCTCATACTTTTTCTATATACCGAGGGGTCTATGGGGGGGTTATGACCCCCCCCCCCCTAACCCCCCCTGCCTACGCCACTGGAACCACACCCCCCCCCCCCCCCCCCCACACACACAACACAGATTTAAACTAGAACCTCCCCCCAACACACACACAACACAGATTTAAACTAGAACCTCCCCCCACACACACAACACAGATTTAAACTAGAACCTCCCCCCCCCCCCCCACACAACACATACATTAACATTAATGACTGCTACCCACACTAATATAACGTATGTTATAACCCCCTCACCCCTTACACTGCCTTACACGCCACCAAACACTTTTGCCAGAGAGAAACTCGCATGCTAAATAGAAAAAGGCATTCGGACATTAGTGTCTTTTGGATATTTGTCGATTTTCTAAAAACACCCCATTATTATATGTATTTATAATCTACATAATATGTATAGTGGTGTATAAATAATAATATTTATACACCATTAATCTAAAGACAATGTTTTTTTTAAATGTTTTTACAGTTGAATGTTTTGAAAACCACTGTGAAGCAAATGGGAGAAAATAAACCGGGAGTGATCTTCCCTAAACTTTCTCGAATATTCTAATATAACACTACGTGGGATGTCAACTCGGAATATAGACATGATTTTTGTTTACTTAAACTTTTAAAAATAGAATAAAATCTAGTAGAAAAAAAATGCGCACCAAGCGAGCACCAAAACCAAATGTGCGTAATAGTGCGCAATATTATTAGTACTTTATAAATTTACATGCGTTTTTTGAGAAATCGGAAATAGCGTAAATTAGTACTTTTGATCAACGGAAATTACTCAAAATTTGACAGATGGTAGAGAATTAGATCTTTTACTTACATGTGAAATTTCATTTATCTATCTTAATTAGTACTCAAGTTATAGGCTTTTGAAAAATTCAAAGTAGAAAAAGTACCACTTCCGGTTATTGGAAATCGCTCAAAAGTTGATACGGATCTACGATTTTGATATAATACTTATATATGAAATTTCATCAACCTAGCTGTAACGGTGCTCAAGTTATCGTGTTTACACACGGACACACACACGGACAGAATTGGATAATCCAGTTTTTCCAACTCCATTACGCATAAAACGCCAATATTTTTATATATCTGTGTTTATAATTTTTGCCCGATTAAAATAAGTCTTCTATATCCCGGATGTGATGAAGGACTGAGGAGTAAAACGGTGAAAACTGTCCAAATTTAATGTGATTTTTGTGCACGTTTACAAGACTTTCTCTATACTTCGTATATACGAGAAAGTAAAAATGAAGCAAAATGGACAAAATGAAGGGGTCGGAGTGGTCTCGAGTTCGGACCCTCGCGCAGATAAAGCTCGTTTGCTGGGGACTCCTCTAGGAGAGACAACTCCAAAATCAAACAACTGCTGCCTTGTATTGTGTTCTTGGAAGCAAATCCAAAAAGAAAAGCAGGCTGAAAACGGAGTCAATGGCCTAAAATTGCACATAACAAGTTAACGCGTATACTTAATTGTGCTGGAGGGGATCCCTTCCAAGACTAAAATTAAGGACGAAGAAGAAAAAAAAAGAAGCAAAATGGAAAAATCACAAAATGAAGTGAAAAAACAAGTTAATAAAAAGTCAAGTGACAATTTAAGCGCAATTTCCTTATGTTATTTATAACAATTTTAAATGGAGATAAATCATATATTCAGCAAATAAATAATGCAACACAAGTAGTTTTAATAATTCAAAACAAAATAGAAAAAAAAAGACAACTATATTAACCTATATCAACGGAAATAGTTTTATTTTAACGAGTAGGCCTACACGAATAACACGATGCTCAGTTTAAAAAAAAATCATCCTAGGCCTACACGATGCTCAGTTTAGAAAAGTAGTAATTAATTTTTTGTGACCGAACGAAAGGATATTTTTGAAAACTTTTTTCGGCAATATTGTTTAAAATTATAGCAGGAATCGATTGGTAAATGTTTCAAGTCGCTAAGTGGTCTGGTTGCCGAGATATGGGACAAAAACTGCATTTTTTTCGAGGTTTTTTGGCTTTTCCGGGAAATCCAGGAAGGAATTCCGGGAATATTTTTGGCCCACAATCATCCTCGGAACTTGCTTAACATATTTGCTTTGGAACTAGTCCTCGATATTGCTTCGTTGAGGAGGAGATACGACTTAAAGCTGCGGACACACATCCATTCATTCATTCATCCATCCAGAAATGACGAGTTAATAATCGCAATTGTCCGTATGGAAATTGCGCTAAAAATCTTAAAAATCGTTTTAATAACAAGGTTTTATGAAATAATGCACTAACAAGTACAAAATAAATTATACACTACTATATAAATAACTATAAAGAAAAGCGTATTGGATGTATTTTTATCGATGTAAATAAACACATGACGAATTGCGCACCATAAGGTGCTGCAAGGTTCAGTGGAAGGCGCAGACACATCGATGTCATCCATCTTAGTTGTCCTTGCTTGACGCTTACAACATCAACTACTGCAGTCAAGTCTGGGGCTTCAGTCATCTTGCACAGTCGGAATCAACTATCCTTTCAGTCATCGGTCATCTTCTGAAAGGTCAGGTCTGATTCTAAGTCCATCTCGTGAAAGGTCAGGTCTGACTGGATAAGTCATAAGTCATCTTGTAAAAAGTCAGGTCTGACTCTAGATAAATCATAAGTCATCTTGTAAAAAGTCAGGTCTGAATCTAGAATAGTCATAAGTCATCTTCTGAAAGGTCAGGTCAGATTCTAACCAAGTCAAAAGTCATCTTGTAAAAAGTCAAGTCTGACTCCAGATAAATCATAAGTCATCTTGTAAAAAGTCAGGTCTGACTCTAGATACGTCATAAGTCATCTTGTGAAAGGTCAGGTCTGACTGTAGCCAAGTCATCTTGAAGCAGCACCATGATGGGCATGTTTTTCGGCGACCCGGACGAGGAAGAAAAGATTGGGCACTTTGACGTCTTCAGCTCGTTGGGTAGCTTGACCTACAGGCAGGGGAAGTACCACGAAGCCCTGGCCAACTTTAATCAGGTCAGTCTGGTCAGGTCAGGGTTAGGTCAGGTCATGGTTAGGTCAGGTCATGATTAGGTCAGGTCAGGGTTAGGTCAGGTCATGGTTAGGTTAGGTTAGGTTTAGGTCGGGGTCAGGTCAGGGTAAGGTCAGGGCCAGGGTTAGACCCCGGCCAGGCATACCGTTCTTCCGTTTGTCGGGTCAGGGTCTCAAATGTGTGTCATGTCAGTTAATGACGTGTAGTGTCCGATGTCTGGCGTCATCCTAGACAGCCATGTGTAGTTGTGTCGCTAGTCTAGACAGCCATGTTGTTATGTCGCTTATCTAGACAGCCATGTTGTTATGTTGCTAGTCTAGACAGCCATGTTGTTATGTCGCTAGTCTAGACAGCCTTGTTGTTATGTCGCTAGTCTAGACAGCCTTGTTGTTATGTCGCTAGTCTAGACAGCCATGTTGTTATGTCGCTAGTCTAGACAGCCATGTTGTTATGTCGCTAGCCTAGACAGCCTTGTTGTTATGTCGCTAGTCTAGACAGCCATGTGTAGTTGTTGTGTCGCTAGTCTAGACAGCCTTGTTGTTATGTCGCTAGTCTAGACAGCCTTGTTGTTATGTCGCTAGTCTAGACAGCCATGTTGTTATGTCGCTAGTCTAGACAGCCTTGTTGTTATGTCGCTAGTCTAGACAGCCTTGTTGTTATGTCGCTAGTATAGACAGCCTTGTTGTTATGTCGCTAGTCTAGACAGCCATGTTGTTATGTCGCTAGTCTACACAGCCTTGTTGTTATGTCGCTAGTCTAGACAGCCATGTTGTTATGTCGCTAGTCTAGACAGCCATGTTGTTATGTCGCTAGTCTAGACAGCCTTGTTGTTATGTCGCTAGTCTAGACAGCATTGTTGTTATGTCGCTAGTCTAGACAGTCTTGTGTAGTTGTTATGTCGCTAGTCTAGACAGCCATGTTGTTATGTCGCTAGTCTAGACAGCCATGTTGTTATGTCGCTAGTCTAGACAGCCTTGTTGTTATGTCGCTAGTCTAGACAGCCATGTTATGTCGCTAGTCTAGACAGCCATGTTGTTATGTCGCTAGTCTAGACAGCCATGTTGTTATGTCGCTAGTCTAGACAGCCAAGTTGTTATGTCGCTAGTCTAGACAGCCATGTTGTTATGTCGCTAGTCTAGACTGCCATGTGTTCAGTTTTTCTTCCAAACTTTTTTCTCCGTGGGGGGGGGGGGGGGGGGGGAAGAGGGGCTCTAGAAATTTCGGGCGGACTTAAATTTCTCCGGGGGGTGGGGGGGGGTGGGAGTATTATATTTTCTACATAAATTCCATTTCGTTTGGGAGGTGGGAGGTGGGGAGGGGGGGGGCAGATGCGCACCCCCCCCCCCCCAAAAGAGTTGGCTGGGAGAAACATTGCATTTGTTGGTGTTACGTGATAGAACGGATCCGGAGGTCAATTAAGATTTTACTAAATTAATCGCATGGTGTGTCTGTTAAATACATAGTTTAAAACACATTTTTTGGAGAAAGAATACATTTTTTACTCATGATCTGCTATAAAAGTTATAGTTGAAGTATAACATCATAACGATAACAGGAAGAAAGTAATCACTTCAGCCCCTGTTATTGATTTGGTTAACGGAAAAAAGTTACAGGAAAGAAAAACACAGAACAAATGTCAGTTTTTGCTAGGAAAAAGTCACACAAAAAAGTAACACAAACCTTGTAAGAAATATTTTGATTTTAACTGTAGACAATTGTAAAATTTTGGGTATATATTACTGTGGGTGTTTTGTTTTTTTTGGTAGCATAATCCTAAACTTTAAAAGCATTGTGGTTTATAACAATGAATAAAAATACTATAACGTATTTTGCACAACAATCTTTTGTTACGTATTTAGTTGAATACGCGGTAGAAAAATTTATTAGAAAAGAAATGTAGGCACATCATTTTGTTTTGCATTTTTCAGCCGAAGGCCTTTCCATAGTTGGCTTCTGATCAGTCGGCCTTGTCCGTCCATATTGTGTGTTGTTGACGTTTCGCGTCAATGACAGCCATTGAACCGTGTCGGTTTTCTGTTTTGATCCCATGTTTTGTTATGTAATGAACATGTTAAATGTAGACACGAAAGGTGGTTGAAATATTGTTGCTATGATTTGAGCACAGCAAGTCACATTAACTACACCTCTACGCCATTTCATGCTAATTTAAATTTAGTATTTAAAAACACAATGAAAACCTACAACATACGCACACATATCTAAAATCTTTACATTCTATTTGAATCGTAAGTTGATTTGCCTTTTCTGAATATTTAATACATAAAAGTATTAAAAAATATTCCAAACAAATACACTATTCGTTACTTTTTTTCCTACAATCATTGATTATGGTATGTGAAAATGGTTAAAAACACAGAAATAATTCTGTCAAGTCCATCTTGGTATTGTTGCGCACCAGCCTAAGCGCAACAAGTGCTACACTGTCTAGCACCCCCATTGAACGACTTGATCAGCTGTTTGAATAAAACTGAAGTTTGAACGAACTTGAACTGAAACGACACTATCACGCGCCGTCTTATATTTTACTGACGAAACGGCTGAGTTTGATGACGTTCGTTTGCCGACATCAACTTTCCAACACACGATAATCAAAGCTAGATCACGTTGAGTTTCCGACATGAAGATCCCGGCAAGACTGCCATAAGAGAGAGCACCCAACTACAGCAGCAGCCGACCCTATGCTAACACCCCCACCATGATCCCAGTGGAAGCCGAACAGCTCCCCGCCCCAGGGAGTTACGATCTCTACAAGTCTGAGGCTGACAGCTACTACAGGAATGGCCATTACAACCTCGCTCTTGAATATTATTCTACTGTAAGTCACATGACTGGGTCTTCTCCACTGTAAGTCACATGGCTGGGTCTTCTCCACTGTAAGTCACATGACTGGGTCTTCTCCACTGTAAGTCACATGGCTGGGTCTTCTCCACTGTAAGTCACATGACTGGGTCTTCTCCACTGTAAGTCACATGTCTAAAAGGTTAAATTTTATCCCTCAGGCCTTAGGTCCAGACGACCGCACCTGTCTAAAAGGTTAAATTTTATCCCTCAGGCCTTAGGTCCAGACGACCGCACCTGTCTAAAAGGTTAAATTTTATCCCTCAGGCCTTACGCCTACGTCCAGACGACCGCATCTGTCTAAAAGGTTAAATTTTATCCCTCAGGCCTTACGCCTACGTCCAGACGACCGCATCTGTCTAAAAGGTTAAATTTTATCCCTCAGGCCTTACGCCTACGTCCAGACGACCGCACCTGTCTAAAAGGTTAAATTTTATCCCTCAGGCCTTACGCCTACGTCCAGACGACCGCATCTGTCTAAAAGGTTAAATTTTATCCCTCAGGCCTTACGCCTACGTCCAGACGACCGCACCTGTCTAAAAGGCTAAATTTTATCCCTCAGGCCTTACGCCTACGTCCAGACGACCGCATCTGTCTAGTCTATCGGTCCAAATGTTACTTGATGACGGGCAACAACGCCAAAGCTCTACAAGACGCCGAGAGTTCTTTGGTGGAGGACAAGAACTACCACAAAGTAGGCTACATATATATATATATATATATATATATATATATATATATATATATATATATATATATATATATATATATATATACCTAAATATACGCACACACACGCCAAATTTCAGCCGTCATATTAAAGACTGTAACTACCTAAGTACCTTGTTCCTCCATCAGGGAATGTTCCAGAAAGCCGAGGTACTCTACAGCATGGGAGACTTTGAAATGGCACTTGTCTACTACCATCGTGGGAACCGTCTCCGCCCCGAGCTCTTGGACTTCCGCCTGGGGATTCAGAAGGCGCGGGAAGCTATCATCAACTGCGTCGGCAGTGAGTTTTTGTAGGGGTCACTGGGGTCAAATGTGCCAGCTCTATGTTTTTGTAGGGGTCACTGGGGTCAAATGTGACAGTAGGGGTCAGTGGGGTCAAATGTGCCAGCACTAGGTTTTTGTAGAGATCATCTGTCAGGCTTTGTGGGAAGGGGGGGGGGGTTCTTTCAAGTACTGTAAAGCGGATAATTAATTAGATACAAACAAGAGAGAAAGCTTTAGTCATCCGGTGATTTCGGTTTGAAAAAGTTGAGTGATGTGTGAGTCTAATGTATGTTTCTACTGTCTAGCACACATAACTAAGTTGTGTGATGTGTGAATCTAATGTATTTTTCTACTGTCTATCACACATACCTAAGTTGTGTGATGTGTGAATCTAATGTATGTTTCTACTGTCTAGCACACATAACTAAGTTGTGTGATGTGTGAATCTAATGTATTTTTCTACTGTCTATCACACATACCTAAGTTGTGTGATGTGTGAATCTAATGTATGTTTCTACTGTCTAGCACACATAACTAAGTTGTGTGATGTGTGAATCTAATGTATTTTTCTACTGTCTATCACACATACCTAAGTTGTGTGATGTGTGAATCTAATGTATGTTTCTACTGTCTAGCACACATAACTAAGTTGTGTGATGTGTGAATCTAATGTATTTTTCTACTGTCTATCACACATACCTAAGTTGTGTGATGTGTGAATCTAATGTATTTTTCTACTGTCTATCACACATACCTAAGTTGTGTGATGTGTGAATCTAATGTATTTTTCCACTGTCTATCACACATACCTAAGTTGTGTGATGTGTGAATCTAATGTATTTTTCTACTGTCTATCACACATAACCAAGTTGTGTGATGTGTGAATCTAATGTATTTTTCTACTGTCTATCACACATAACCAAGTTGTGTGATGTGTGAATCTAATGTATTTTTCTACTGTCTAGCACACAGAACCAAGTTGTGTGATGTGTGAATCTAATGTATTTTTCTACTGTCTATCACACATAATTAAGTTGTGTGATGTGTGAATCTAATGTATTTTTCTACTGTCTATCACACATAACAAAGTTGTGTGATGTGTGAATCTAATGTATTTTTCTAATGTCTATCACACATAACAAAGTTGTTTGATGTGTGAATCTAATGTATTTTTCTACTGTCTAGCTCCTGATCGCGTGAAGTTAAACACAACTGGTGATCTCTCATTTTTTGCGGCTCAAGAAGAGGTAAGATCTGTTGCAAGGGCAACAACTGTTAACTTATTTTTGCAAGGGCAATAACCGTTAACATCCTGTGGTAAGGGGAGTAACTTTGAATATCCGGCTATCTGGGAAACTACGTAAAACGTACTTCAACTTGTGTGTTCACTCTGCTCGCTAATGACGTCAGCAAATGATTGTCATCAAGACAACTGCCTGCCGAGGTCCTTTTCCTAACAGGCTGGCTTTTGTAATCTCAGATGTTTCAGTACTGATGTCACGTCTGATGTTTCAGTGCTGATGTCGAGTCTGATGTTTCAGTGCTGATGTCACGCCTGATGTTTCAGTGCTGATGTCACGCCTGATGTTTCAGTGCTGATGTCACGTCTGATGTTTCCGTGCTGATGTCACGTCTGATGTTTCCGTGCTGATGTCACGTCTGATGTTTCCGTGCTGATGTCACGTCTGATGTTTCCGTGCTGATGTCACGTCTGATGTTTCCGTGCTGATGTCACGTCTGATGTTTCAGTGCTGATGTCACGTCTGTATGATGTTTCAGTGCTGATGTCACGTCTGTATGATGTTTCAGTGCTGATGTCACGTCTGTATGATGTTTCAGTGCTGATGTCACGTCTGTATGATGTTTCAGTGCTGATGTCACGTCTGTATGATGTTTCAGTGCTGATGTCACGTCTGTATGATGTTTCAGTACTGATGTCACGTCTGATGTTTCAGTGCTGATGTCACGTCTGATGTTTCCGTGCTGATGTCACGTCTGTATGATGTTTCAGTGCTGATGTCACGTCTGTATGATGTTTCAGTGCTGATGTCACGTCTGTATGATGTTTCAGTGCTGATGTCACGTCTGATGTTTCAGTGCTGATGTCACGTCTGATGTTTCAGTGCTGATGTCGAGTCTGATGTTTCAGTGCTGATGTCACGTCTGATGTTTCCGTGCTGATGTCACGTCTGTATGATGTTTCAGTGCTGATGTCACGTCTGTATGATGTTTCCGTGCTGATGTCACGTCTGTATGATGTTTCAGTGCTGATGTCACGTCTGTATGATGTTTCAGTGCTGATGTCACGTTTGATGTTTCAGAAATCCAAGAAAGGGAAGGGCGCCTCCCAGCCGTGCTTCAAGCGCCCCCAGGTGGTGACCAAGAAGAAGAAAGAGAAAGCTGGCAACGAGACGACCATCAAGCAGATGTTGGGGGAGCTCTACGGTGACCGGCGGTACCTGGAGAGGCTACTACAGGACACTGGTCAGCTGGCTGGGGATTTGTGTGGGGGGTGTGTGGGGTGTGTGTGGGGTGTGTGGGGTGTGTGGGGTGTGTGTGGGGCGGGGTATGGGGGGAGCTCTACGGTGACCGGCGGTACCTGGAGAGGCTACTACAGGACACTGGTCAGCTGGCTGGACATGTGTGTGGGGTGTGTGGGGTGTGTGTGTGGTGTGTGTGGGGTGTGTGTGGGGCGGGGTGTGGGGGGAGCTCTACGGTGACCGGCGGTACCTGGAGAGGCTACTACAGGACATTGGTCAGCTGGCTGGACATTTGTGTGTGGGGTGTGTGGGGTGTGTGGGGTGTGGGGGGGGAGCTCTACGGTGACCGGCGGTACCTGGAGAGGCTACTACAGGACACTGGTCAGCTGGCTGGACATTTGTGTGGGGTGTGTGTGGGGTGTGTGGTGTGTGGGGTGTGGGGTGTGTGGGGTGTGTGGGGTGTGTGGTGTGTGGGGTGTGTGGTGTGTGGGGTGTGGTGTGTGTGGGGGTGGGGAGCTCTACGGTGACCGGCGCTACCTGGAGAGACTGCCGCAGGACACTGGTCAGCTGGCTGGACATGTGTGTGGGGGTGTGGTTGTATGTGTGGGTGTAAGTGTGAGGGTGGGTGTACCAGTGACAAAGAAATTGAGGTGACTAGATTTCAGTAGACTTCGCACTTTCATTAAGCTAATGGAATTTTGTGTGGACACTGTGTCATGTGTATTTCTGTTCAAAGATTACTGGATATTATCTCGAAGAAATAAAACCTTCACCTATATTCTCATCTTCGTGTATTTTCAGACAATCAGACAATTACTGGGAAACGAATTATTCGTATAGTACAGGACAGTTTGTCTTATCTCAACACCAAGACAGAGTTCTGGCAACAGGCAAGTCACGGTTATATATATATATATATATATATATATATATATATATATATATATATATATATATATATATATATATATATATATATATATATATATATATATATATATATATACATACATCGTCTGCTATAACCTGCCCATGTACCGATGTGCTTCTAGCTGAAGCCCATGTACGCCAGGAAATACGAAGCCCGTCTAGCACTGAACCGTGGCAGGGCCGTCAAGACCTCGCCCTACGATCACATCATCAGTGAAATAGAGAAGATAGAAAAATGTAAGGCTCTATAGATAAAAGACTTAAGGTATCCTACTTAAATCCTTGCTATGTCCCAAGCTGAAGTTATCCCAGCCATATCCCAAGCTGAAGTTATCCCAGCCATATCCCAAGCTGAAGTTATCCCAGCCATATCCCAAGCTGAAGTTATCCCAGCCATATCCCAAGCTGAAGTTATCCCAGCAATATCCCAGCCATACCCCAGCCATACCCCAGCCATATCCCAACCATACCCCAGCCATTACCAAGCTGAAGTTCTTCGAGATATGGAACAATGAACACGTAAATGACTTAAATAATTTACCTGTAATCAAATTAGAGTGATTGTTCGACACGCCATAATAGATTTTCTAGCCCCCACTGTACTTGACCTCGTCTATCCCCCCCCCTTATCCCTGCCCCCCCCCCCCCCCCCCAGTCATGGCTGAAGAGAACTACGAGGCCGCCCTGAAGAAGTCCAACAAGGTGATGAACACGCTGGACACCATGACCGAGGCGCAACTGGCCAACAGGATGACCTTCAAGGCCAACCTCCACAGTATCCAGGGCAACGCCTACCTCGAGCTCAAGGACTACGAGAACGCTGCCCAGCAACATCAGCTGGACCTGGCTCTGGGAGAGGAGAAGTCAGAACACACACCTTGTACCACACGTTTACACATTTTCTTGTACCACACGTGTACACACGTCTTGTACTACACGTGTACACACGTCTTGTACCAAACTTGTACACATTTTCTCGTACCCACATCTTGTATCACACTTGTACATTTACGTGTTATTTACTTAGCAAGTTGTCATATTTGTTAACCTCCAACATTAACCGTCGTTTTCCCCCAACATTACCTGTTGTTTACTTAGCAAGTTGTCATTTCTTTTTACCTCCAACATTTATTTACCAGCAACATTACCTGTTGTTACCTCCAACATTATCTTTTGCTTACCTCCACCATTACCTGATGTTTACCTGCAACATTACCTGTTGTTACCTCCAACATTATCTGTTGTGTGCCACAAACATTACCTTTTGTTTACCTCCACCATTACCTGATGTTTACCTGCAGCATTACCTGCTGTTTACCTACATCATAACCTGTTGTTTACCTACATCATTACCTGTTGTTTACCTGCAACATTACCTGTTGTTTACCTGCAACATTACCTGTTGTTTACCTGCAACATTACCTGTTGTTTACCTCCACCATTACCTGTTGTTTACCTGCAACATTATCTGTTGTTACCTGCAACATTACCTGTTGTTTACCTGCAACATTACCTGTTGTTTACCTGCAACATTACCTGTTGTTACCTGCAACATTACCTGTTGTTTACCTGCAACATTATCTGTTGTTACCTGCAACATTACCTGTTGTTTACCTGCAACATTACCTGTTGTTTACCTACAACATTACCTGTTGTTTACCTACAACATTACCTGTTGTTTACCTGCAACATTACCTGTTGTTACCTGCAACATTACCTGTTGTTTACCTACAACATTACCTGTTGTTTACCTACAACATTACCTGTTGTTTACCTACAACATTACCTGTTGTTTACCTGCAACATTACCTGTTGTTACCTGCAACATTACCTGTTGTTTACCTGCAACATTACCTGTTGTTTACCTACAACATTACCTGTTGTTTACCTACAACATTACCTGTTGTTTACCTACAACATTACCTGTTGTTTACCTGCAACATTACCTGTTGTTTACCTGCAACATTACCTGTTGTTTACCTACAACATTACCTGTTGTTTACCTACAACATTACCTGTTGTTTACCTCCACCATTACCTGTTGTTTACCTCCTCCACTACCTGTTGTTTACCTACAACATTACCTGTTGTTTACCTGCAGTGACATTGAGGAGGCCGAGTGCAGGGCGCTGGACAACTTAGGACGGGTATTTGCCAGGAGCGGCAAATTCAAGAAGGCGATAGATGTGTAAGTGTAAGACATATGTGTAAGTGTAAGATAGATGTGTAAGTGTAAGAAAGATGTGTAAGTGTATATACGTGTAAGATAGATGTGTAAGTGTAAGAAAGATGTGTAAGTGTAAGAAAGATGTGTAAGTGTAAGACAGCTGTGTAAGTGTAAAACATATGTGTAAGTGTAAGATAGATGTGTAAGTGTAAGAGATGTGTATGTATAAGATAGATGTGTAAGTGTAAGATAGATGTGTCAGTGTGAGATTGATGTGTATGTGTAAGATATATGTTTAAGTGTAAGAGATGTATAAGTGTAATATTGATGTGAGTGTGTAAGATGTGTTATTGTAAGATATGTGTATGTGTAAGTGTATGAAAGTGTAAGATAGATGTGTATGTGCATATACGTGTAAGACAGATGTGTAAGTATAAGATAGTTGTGTAAGTGTAAGATAGATGTGTAAGTGTAAGAGATGTGTAAGTGTAAGATAGATGTGTAAGTGTAAGATATATGTGTAAGTGTAAGATAGACGTGTAAGTGTAAGAGATGTGTAAGTGTAAGATAGATGTGTAAGTGGAAGAGATGTGTATGTGTAAGATAGATGTATAGGTGTAAGATAGATGTGTAAGTGTAATATAGATGTGTATGTGTATATACGTGTAAGATAGATGTGTAAGTGTAATATATATGTGTAAGTGTAAGAGATGTGTACGTGTAATATAGATGTGTACGTGTATGTACGTGTAAATGTAACTAGTGATAGATGTGTATTTGTAACTAGCCCATTGGTAATATTTTCAATTGACTTACTTTTTATCAGTGTTTCTTCCAGACTTTTTTCTCCGGGGGGGGGGCACATGAAATTTTCGGGGGGGCGGTAGACTTTCTTCGGGGGGGCGGACACTGTTAAAAGTATATATTTTCTATATAAATTATATAAATTTCATTTCGTTCGGGGGGGGGGGGCGGTAAAAAATTTTCGGGGGGGCTTTGCCCCCCCGAAGAGATGCCTGGAAGAAACTCTGCTTTTTATGTGCCTTCCTTGTAGTTTGTTTAGCCACAAAATTGGCCGACATTTTTGTTTTGTAAACACTTGGTACATTGTTGTAATGTTCACTTTGAAGCACTATTTTGTTTACAATGGTTTATTCGGATATTTAATCAGGGTCAAATTAACATTTTTACAAATGTAAAAAATCCAGCAAACAATGAAACAGGCCAGTTTGTTTTCCAGATGGGAGAGAAAGCTGCCACGGAGTAAAGGGATATTGGAGACCACGTGGCTCTGTCACGAGATTGGGCGGTGCTACCTAGAACTTGACCAATCCAAATTTGCCAAAGAATACGGCGAGAGGTCACTGGCCGCAGCTGAAGAGGCGGCAGACGACCGCTGGCAACTTCATGCACTGGTGCTCATATCCCAGGCTGAAGGTATCCCACTCATATCCCACTCATATCCCACTCATATCCCAGGCCGAAGGTATCCCACTCATATCCCACTCATATCCCAGGCCGAAGGTATCCCACTCATATCCCACTCATATCCCAGGCCGAAGGTATCCCACTCATATCCCAGGCCGAAGGTATCCCACTCATATCCCAGGCCGAAGGTATCCCACTCATATCCCAGGCCGAAGGTATCCCACTCATATCCCAGGCCGAAGGTATCCCACTCATATCCCAGGCCGAAGGTATCCCACTCATATCCCACTCATATCTCAGGCTGAAGGTATCCCACTCATATCCCACTCATATCCCAGGCCGAAGGTATCCCACTCATATCCCAGGCCGAAGGTATCCCACTCATATCCCATGCTGAAGGTATCCCACTCATATCCCAGGCCGAAGGTATCCCACTCATATCCCATGCTGAAGGTATCCCACTCATATCCCAGGATGAAGCTATCCCACACATTTTCCATGCATTTTGACTTGTTTTAACTTACAAAACCTTAAATCGACATTTGTTTACTTGCAAATCCTGAATCTGACTTTTGGTTGACTTTTGTTTATTTTCCCTCAGTGAAGGCGGGCAGACTGGCTTCGTCGCTAATTAGCTTTGAGAAAGCTTACCAGATGGCTGCATTACTCAGTGGGTATACGTGTGGTTGTGTGACGTCATTACTCAGTGGGTATACGTGTGGTTGTGTGACGTCATTACTCAGTGGGTATACGTGTGGTTGTGTGACGTCATTACTCAGTGGGTATACGTGTGGTTGCGTGACGTCATTACTCAGAGGGTATACGTGTGGTTGTGTGACGTCATAACTAAGTGGGTATACATGTGGTTGTGTGACGTCATTACTCAGTGGGTATACGTGTGGTTGTGTGACGTCATTACTCAGTGGGTGTACATGTGTTTGTGTGACGTTATTGCTAAATGGGTGTAAATGTGGTGGTTATGTGACGTCATAACTAAGTGGGTATACGTATGTCGTATGCTGTAATCAATGATATATAACAAGTATGTTGTAATCAATGATATATAACAAGAATGTTGTATGCTGTAATCAATGATATATAACAAGTATGTTGTATGCTGTAATCAATGATATATAACAAGTATGTTGTAATCTGTAATCAATGATATATAACAAGTATGTTGTATGCTGTAATCAATGATGTATAACAAGTATGTCGTATGCTGTAATCAATGATATATAACAAGTATGTCGTATGCTGTAATCGATATATAACAAGAATGTTGTATGCTGTAATCAATGATATATAACAAGTATGTTGTATGCTGTAATCAATGATATATAACAAGTATGTTGTAATCAATGATATATAACAAGTATGTTGTATGCTGTAATCAATGATATATAACAAGAATGTTGTATGCTGTAATCAATGATATATAACAAGTATGTTGTATGCTGTAATCAATGATATATAACAAGTATGTTGTATGCTGTAATTAATGATATATAACAAGTATGTTGTATGCTGTAATCAATGATATATAACAAGAATATATGTTGTCAACAGTGGACGTGGAAGCGCAGTTGGCCATAAAAAAAGCGATGGATGACGTCAACCGAAAGATTGACCTTCGTGAGCAGGACAACGGAGAAAATGACGTCACCCAAGAGGTCACGGAAAACAGAGAGGTCAGAAATTATAACGTGCCCCAATATTTTGTCAACACCTGTGTTTTTGTGGCCCAATATTTTGTCAACACCTGTGTTTTTGTGACCCAATATTTTGTCAACACCTGTGTTTTTGTGACCCAATATTTTGTCAACACCTGTGTTTTTGTGCCCCAATATTTTGTCAACACCTGTGTTTTGTGCCAAATATTTTGTCGACACCTGTGTTTTTGTGGCCCAATATTTTGTCAACACCTGTGTTTTTGTGGCCCAATATTTTGTCAACACCTGTGTTTTTGTGGCCAATATTTTGTCAACATCTGTGTTTTTGTGCCCCAATATTTTGTCAACACCTGTGTTTTGTGGCCCAATATTTTGTCGACACCTGTGTTTTTGTGGCCCAATATTTTGTCAACACCTGTGCTTCCTGTCGAAGGGGTCCCAGGCTGAAGAACATCCCGGGACGTCTGAGGGGCGCGAGGGTGTAGAAGGGGAGCATGAACAGGGCGCCACGTCGCCTGACCTCACAGAACCACCGGCCACCGAGACATCAGAACACATACAAGAGGAGCCGCAGGATATGACGTCAGAAGAGCTCCCAACACAAGGTTAGTGTATGTGTGGCTCCCCACACAAGATAGGTATATGTGTGGCTGTTCACAAAAATTAGGTGTATGTGTTTGCCCACACAAGTGAGCGAATGTGTGGCTGCCCACACAAGGTGGGTCGTGCTGTTTCAGCGAGTGTCTCTGATGACACCTTCTGTGTCTATGTGTGTCTGATAACTGACATATTTCTGTCTACGTTTGTCTGATAACTGACATATTTCTGTCTACGTTTGTCTGATTACTGACATATTTCTGTCTAGTCTGATAACTGACATATTTCTGTGTCTACGTATGTCTGATAACTGACATATTTCTGTCTAGTCTGCTGACATATTTCTGTCTAGTCTGCTAACTGACATATTTCTGTGTCTACGTTTGTCTGATAACTGACATACTTCTGTCTAGTCTGCTAACTGACATATTTCTGTCTAGTCTGATAACTGACATATTTCTGTCTAGTCTGCTAACTGACATATTTCTGTGTCTACGTTTGTCTGATAATTGACATATTTCTGTCTAGTCTGCTAACTGACATATTTCTGTCTAGTCTGCTAACTGACATATTTCTGTGTCTACGTTTGTCTGATAACTGACATATTTCTGTCTAGTCTGCTAACTGACATATTTCTGTGTCTACGTATGTCTGATAACTGACATATTTCTGTCTAGTCTTCTAACTGACATATTTCTGTCTAGTCTGCTAACTGACATATTTCTGTCTAGTCTGCTAACTGACATACTTCTGTGTCCACAGTTCTATCGACCGATCAAGAAGTAGAAAGGTAGGTCGACCTTTGGTTTATCTTGGTGACCTGAGCAGATTATGACCTACCTTGCTACAATCCAATTTAAAGAAGACAATTAATTAATTAACTAAGAACTAATTTGTCTCATGTGTCCTGAAATCTCCGCTATTTAACGGCATGATTTCTGGACGACATTTTAATCTGACCATTGACAAGAAATCCTTAAACCACATTTTATTTTGACCAGTGAAACAAAAGACACAGAATGATGGACTAGACATGTCACAACAAGACAACAGCAAATAAAGGGAAACATTTTATTTTCTGGACATTTAATTTTCAAGATGATTAAAAAAAAATTACAAATTAAAAAAAAATTGTTTGGGTCATTTTATTGTTAACACGACACTTGAATGGTGGCTGTATGATTGTTGGCAGAGGTTGTTAGCAGAGTGTCGATTTGTACACAGAGATGACCTCACTATGTGCCACACCCCACCTGTGTGTTGACGTCTAGAGGTGACCTCACTATGTGCTACACCTCAACTGTGTGTTGACGTCTAGGTGCTACACCCCACCTGTGTGTTGACGTCTAGAGGTGACCTCACTATGTGCTACACCCCACCTGTGTGTTGACGTCTAGGTGCTACACCCCACCTGTGTGTTGACGTCTAGGTGCTACATCCCACCTGTGTGTTGACGTCTAGGTGCTACACCCCACCTGTGTGTTGACGTCTAGAGGCTACACCCCACCTGTGTGTTGACGTCTAGAGGCTACACCCCACCTGTGTGTTGACGTCTAGAGGCTACACCCCACCTGTGTGTTGACGTCTAGGTGCTACATCCCACCTGTGTGTTGACGTCTAGGTGCTACACCCCACCTGTGTGTTGACGTCTAGGTGCTACACCCCACCTATGTGTTGACGTCTAGCCAATCTGTACACAAATTGACGTACAAGAACATACAAGACAGATATAATGACAAGCAGGCACAAATTCGATTTTTGAATGTTACAAAAAATTTTTAAATGCTAGGAGAAAAAGCGGGAATTGATGAGGGTGTACATCTCTAATGGCATTTGATAAAATGATGGGATGATGGTCGCATTATAAAACTGATGGAAGATGGTAGCATTATAAAACTGATGGAAGATGGTAGCATTATAAAACTGATGGAAGATGGTAGCATTAGATAAAATTATGTGATGGTGGTAGCATTATAAAACTGATGGAAGATGGTAGCATTGGATAAACTGATGAGATGAAGGTAGCATTGGATAAACTGATGGGATGATGGTAAAGGTTGATAACACAAGTGTAACCATCAGTCTCAGAGTTAAAAGTTTATAAGTTTGCCGACCTTCACCTTGACCTATGATCCCATGCAGCTCACGAGACCAGTCACCATGGCAGCCAACAGAATTAGTCCCATAAAGTCTTTAGACACACCCAACCCCCCTTCTTATAGACACACCCAACCCCCCTTCTTATAGACACACCCAACCCCCCTTCATGTAGACACACCCAACCCCCCTTCGTGTAGACACACCCAACCCCCCTTCGTGTAGACACACCCAACCCCCCTTCGTGTAGACACACCCAACCCCCCTTCGTGTAGACACACCCAACCCCCCTTCATGTAGACACACCCAACCCCCCTTCTTATAGACACACCCAACCCCCCTTCTTATAGACACACCCAACCCCCCTTCTTATAGACACACCCAATCCCCCTTCATGTAGACACACCCAAGCCTTATTCACATGTTTGGATTGTCTTTGTTATCTCCCCTTGTACACACATCGGTCAGGTGATGTTCTACTTGGTGGTGTACACACATTGGGTGATGTTCAACTTGGTGGTGTACACACATCAGGTGATGTTTTACTTTGTGGTGTACACACATCAGGTGATGTTCTATTTGGTGGTGTACACACATCAGGTGATGTTCTACTTGGTGGTGTACACACATCAGGTGATGTTCTATTTGGTGGTGTACACACATCAGGTGATGTTTTACTTGGTGGTGTACACACATCAGGTGATGTTTTACTTGGTGGTGTACACACATCAGGTGATGTTTTACTTCGTAATGTACACACATCAACTAGGTGATTGTAGCAGTCATATAATTGTAGCAGTCATATAATTGTAGCAGCCAAGTAATTGTAGCAGTCATATAACTGTAGCAGTCATATAATTGTATCATTCATTTCTTTGTAGCAGTCATATAACTGTATCAGCCAAGGTTACTCATTAGACATTTACAATTAAAAGTTGGGAGTTGGGTGGGAGCGGTGCAGACGGTTTTGTGTTGAGCTATTTGTTATCTCTTTATGGTCAATTAATGAGATAATGACAAGCTTTATTTATTATTGTCCAATTGATGATAACTTGTATCTTGAGCTGGACGACACTCAACCGGTGAATCTCCACATAGTCTCGTACAATATCTTTGAAGTCTCGTACAATATCTCTGAAATCTCGTACAATTTCGCTGAAGTCTCAGATTAATCGCGAACTTTTCGAGCAATCTTGGGCACGTCTAAGAGCGACATATCGGCCCAACATATGTTGGAGAAGGGCGTGTTATCTGACTTATATGTTGGAGCAGGGCGTGTCATGCGATTCATGTGTTGGAGAAGGGCGTGTCATGTGACTCAAATGTTGGAGAAGGGCGTGTCATGCGACTCATATGTTGAAGTGCCTGCTATCTGACTTATATGTTGGAGAAGGGCGTGTCATGCGACTCATATGTTGAAGTGCCTGCTATCTGACTTATATGTTGGAGAAGGGCATGTCGTGTGACTCAAATGTTGGAGAAGGGCGTGTCATCCTCAGGGTCCTCAATGTTGGACACCAGATCCCTAGTGTCGGAAGTCGGCACGCGCCGGAAGTGATGCAATGCGCCAATGACTGCAGACCGGAAGTCGGGAGCCATGAAGATGGCGACGGGGACGACGCCGGACTTTGCGAAGAGCAGCCAGTCTGAGACGGTACCCAGGGGCAGCAGCCAGGCAATACAGTCGACAGACGAGCACGCGCCCCGGGCCATGACGGTGGAGATGAGGAACGCCGGGAGGGGGAGGATGGTGGTGAGTACTGTGATCAGTGTCAGCACGTGCAGGGGGAGGTCCGTGCATTGCTCCGTGTTGACCTCCAGGTGCAGCTGTACAGTGGGCGTGGTCATCATCGTCTTCTCGCGTATCTGCAGCAGTTGGAGCAGACGGTTAGAGACAAGCTACACAAGACAACAGCCACACAACATGACATCAGCCACAGTACATCAGCCGCACAACATGACATCAGCCACACAACATGACATCAGCCACACAACATGACATCAGCCACACAACATGACATCAGCCACACAACATGACATCAGCCACACAACATGACATCAGCCACACAACATGACATCAGCCACACAACATGACATCAGCCACACAACATGACATCAGCCACACAACATGACATCAGCCACACAACATGACATCAGCCACACAACATGACATCAGCCACACAACATGACATCAGCCACAGTACATCAGCCACACAACATGACATCAGCCACACAACATGACATCAGCCACACAACATGACATCAGCCACACAACATGACATCAGCCACACAACATGACATCAGCCACACAACATGACATCAGCCGCACAACATGACATCAGCCGCACAACATGACATCAGCCGCACAACATGACATCAGCCGCACAACATGACATCAGCCGCACAACATGACATCAGCCGCACAACATGACATCAGCCACACAACTGGACACCAGCCACACTACTGAACATATACCTAAAAGAGGGGCCCATTACACACAAACGTTCCACCCCCAACCACCCACACAATCGTCCCTCAACCTATACACCCAAATATAGTTTCTTCCCATCCACACAAACGTCCTCTCCCCACCCACCCACACATTTGTCTCGCCCCCAGCCAACTCCCAACTCTCTACCAGCCAACTCCCACCACCAACGCCACAACTTACATCAACGCCACCACTTACACCAACGCCACCACTTACACCAATGCCACCACTAACACCAACACCACCACTTACACCAACGCCACCACTTACACCAACGCCACCACTTACAGCAACAGCCAGCAGCAGCAGCAAGCTGAGCCCGGCAGGCAGGAAGTAGACCAGGACATTGATGATTACCGCCCCTTTCGTGGCCACCAACGCCTTACAGATCACTTGTGGGGCAATGGCTATCTGCAGAATTATTGTGTTAACAGATCACTTGTGGGGCAATGGCTATCTGCAGAATTATTGTGTTAACAGATCACTTGTGGGGCAATGGCTATCTGCAGAATTATTGTGTTAACAGATCACTTGTGGGGCAATGGCTATCTGCACAATTATTGTGTTAATAGATCACTTGTGGGGCAATGACTATCTGCAGACTTATTGTATTAACAGATCACTTGTGGGGCAATGGCTATCTGCAGAATTATTGTGTTAACAGATCACTTGTGGGGCGATGGCTTTCTGCAGAATTATTGTGTTAACAGATCACTTGTGGGGCAATGGCTATCTGCAGAATTATTGTGTTAACAGATCACTTGTGGGGCAATGGCTATCTGCAGAATTATTGTGTTAACAGATCACTTGTGGGGCAATGGCTATCTGCAGAATTATTGTGTTAATAGATCACTTGTGGGGCAATGACTATCTGCAGACTTATTGTATTAACAGATCACTTGTGGGGCAATGGCTATCTGCAGAATTATTGTGTTAACAGATCACTTGTGGGGCGATGGCTTTCTGCAGAATTATTGTGTTAACAGATCACTTGTGGGGCAATGGCTATCTGCAGAATTATTGTGTTAACAGATCACTTGTGGGGCGATGGCTATCTGCAGAATTATTGTGTTAACAGATCACTTGTGGGGCAATGGCTATCTGCAGAATTATTGTGTTAACAGATCACTTGTGGGGCAATGGCTATCTGCAGAATTATTGTGTTAACAGATCACTTGTGGGGCGATGGCTTTCTGCAGAATTATTGTGTTAACAGATCACTTGTGGGGCAATGGCTATCTGCAGAATTATTGTGTTAACAGATCACTTGTGGGGCGATGGCTATCTGCAGAATTATTGTGTTAACAGATCACTTGTGGGGCAATGGCTATCTGCAGAATTATTGTGTTAACAGATCACTTGTGGGGCAATGGCTATCTGCAGAATTATTGTGTTAACAGATCACTTGTGGGGCAATGGCTATCTGCAGAATTATTGTGTTAACAGATCACTTGTGGGGCAATGGCTATCTGCAGAATTATTGTGTTAACAAAACACTTGCGGGGCAATGGCTATCTGCAGAATTATTGTGTTAACAGATCACTTGCGGGGCTATGGCTATCTGCAGAATTAGTGTGTTAACAGATCACTTGTTGGGCAATGGCTATCTGCAAAATTATTGTGTTAACAGATCACTTGTGGGGCTATAGCTATCTGCAGAATAATTATTGTGTTAACAGATCACTTGTGGGGCAATGGCTATCTGCAGAATTATTGTGTTAACAGATCACTTGGGGGTAAAGGCTATCTGCAGAATTATTGTGTTAACAGATAATTTGTGGGGCAATGGCTATCTGCAGAATTATTGTGTTAACAGATAATTTGTTGGGCAATGGCTATCGGCAGAATTATTGTGTTAACAGATAATTTGTTGGGCAATGGCTATCGGCAGAATTATTGTGTTAACAGATAATTTATGGGGCAATGACTATCTGCAGAATTATTGTGTTAAGAGATAAAGTGTGGGGCAATAGCTTGCTGGCCAACTTTGTACCTGAGTGTATTAAAAATTACATGATTTGGTTTTTAAAATGTATTTTTTACTTTTGTAACGTAAGTTGATACTGTAAAAGGTAACTGTGGTTTAGACTAGGAGATCTTAGTAGGTAGTGAGGGTGAGGAATTTGAACTACCTATAGGAAGTGACGTGAGTGAACTACCTGACATAAGTGAACTACCTACATGCAGAAAGTGACGTGAGTGAACTACCTGACGTGAGTGAACTACCTACATGCAGAAAGTGACGTGAGTGAACTACCTGACGTGAGTGAACTACCTACATGCAGGAAGTGACGTGAGTGAACTACCTGACGTGAGTGAACTACCTACATGCATTACGTGACGTGAGTGAACTACCTACATGCACACTGTCGTGTCTGCCTGCACTAAGTGCCGCCCCAATGGCCACCAGGTAGGCCCACAGCACGACAAACGACGCGGCAAACACACAGTTTCGCGCCACCGTCTTCACCACCAGGCCGTATCGTCTGTGGGAAAACATGAGGTTAAGCACTCTTAAGATAGCATCACTATTTACTGTACCAAGCACTCTTAAGATAGCATCACTATTTACTGTACCAAGCACTCTTAAGATAGCATCACTATTTACTGTACCAAGCACTCTTAAGATAGCATCACTATTTACTGTACCAAGCACTCTTAAGATAGCATCACTATTTGCTGTACCAAAATTTTAATTTTTTATGGTGAATGATTTACTGTTAATTAATAAACAATTGATCGTTGATTAAAGACGAGGGTACGTTTAACCAGTTTAGCCGGCTGACCTGAAACATGGCGGCAGGATTCTCATGGTGAGGATGAGCAGCACCGAGTGCGAGGTCAGGAAGGTCAAGGGGAAGACGAAGGTGAACCAGACGAAGAAACTACTGCAGCCATGCGCCCAGTGACCCCTCAGGAAGAAGTCGGCCGTCAGGGGGCAGTAGAAGACCCCCACGGTCAGGTCGGACACGGCGTAGTGGAGCAGCACGATGTTCTGCCTGAAACAAAATGGCGGGAAATGTCAAGGGCAACAGGTTAATGCGGTCAAGGTCACAACAATTAGTAGTCCAGATCAATGTCATCACGTCACTAGCAATCAGTGGTGTTGGTGGGGATACAAAGCATGGCAGAGTGACCAGCTGACTGGCTTGTTCTAAACTTCCGGCTGTTTCCTAACTTACCGGCTGTTTCCTAACTTACCGGCTGTTTCCTAACTTACCGGCTGTTTCCTAACTTAATGCCTATTTCCTAACTTACCGGCTGTTTCCTAACTTAATGCCTATTTCCTAACTTACCGGCTGTTTCCTAACTTACCGGCTGTTTCCTAACTTACCGGCTGTTTCCTAACTTACCGGCTGTTTCCTAACTTAATGCCTATTTCCTAACTTACCGGCTGTTTCCTAACTTAATGCCTATTTCCTAACTTACCGGCTGTTTCCTAACTTAATGCCTATTTCCTAACTTACCGGCTGTTTCCTAACTTACCGGCTGTTTCCTAACTTAATGCCTATTTCCTAACTTACCGGCTGTTTCCTAACTTAATGCCTATTTCCTAACTTACCGGCTGTTTCCTAACTTAATGCCTATTTCCTAACTTACCGGCTGTTTCCTAACTTACCGGCTGTTTCCTAACTTAATGCCTATTTCCTAACTTACCGGCTGTTTCCTAACTTAATGCCTATTTCCTAACTTACCGGCTGTTTCCTAACTTACCGGCTGTTTCCTAACTTAATGCCTATTTCCTAACTTACCGGCTGTTTCCTAACTTACCGGCGGTTTCCCAACTTACCGGCTGTTTCCTAACTTACCGGCTGTTCCCTAACTTACCGGCTGTTTCCCAACTTACCGGCTGTTTCCTAACTTACCGGCTGTTTCCCAACTTACCGGCTGTTTCCTAACTTACCGGCTGTTCCCTAACTTACCGGCTGTTTCCTAACTTACCGGCTGTTTCCCAACTTACCGGCTGTTTCCTAACTTACCGGCTGTTTCCTAACTTACCGGCTGTTTCCTAACTTACCGGCTGTTTCCTAACTTACAGGCTGTTTCCTAACTTACCGGCTGTTTCCTAACTTACCGGCTGTTTCCTAACTTACCGGCTGTTTCCTAACTTACCGGCTGTTTCCTAACTTACCGGCTGTTTCCTAACTTACCGGCTGTTGAGGAGCTTGACGTTGGTCATGAGAAGAAAAATTAAAAACAGGTTGGCGCCGGATATCCAGGCTGTGTACAAGATGGCGGCCACGGCACTTCCGGTCTGGCTCCCCCAGGGGTGGTAGAGCGCCGTGGAGAAGTTGATCATCCGGTGGGAGGAGAGGCTGAAGTCTTCCTGTAGGGTGCCCGTCCACTCCTCCGTGTGGACTCGCTCCTGGGTGGGGGAGAGGGGGGTGAGGGTGGGGGGAGAGGGTGGGGGTTAGTATGGTGGTTTTACTTTTGTGGTTTTATATTTTTGGTTTTACATTAGTGGTTTGTGGTTTTACATTTGTGGTTTTATATTTGTGGTGTGAATTTCTACCGTTGTCACAAAAGTAAAGATGTATTGGTATATACACGTTAGTAAAGTATACTGTTGACAAAAGTAAAGGTATGGGGATTTAGCCACGCTAATAAAGGTTCACTTTTATTGTCACGTTAATCTAGGTATATTTTAATACTCACGTTTGTACGGGTGACTGTAATAGTGACGTCAATAGTTTGACAACTATTCCGCTACCACCCCGCCCCCCCCCCCCCAACACCCACCGTGCTAAGAACAAACAAACTGAGCTAACATTTCACATACTTGACAGTGTAGCAGCTGACAAGTTTTTTTATAAGATAATCAGATGGCCCGACTAATTAATTAAGTTTCAGGTGAAATCGGACTATACAACTAGACCCACTGGCGTCATACTTTTATACCACCCACTGGCGTCATACTTTTATACCACCCACTGGCGTCATACTTTTATACCACCCACTGGCGTCATACTTTTATACCACCCACTGGCGTCATACTTTTATACCACCCACTGGCGTCATACTTTTATACCACCCACTGGCGTCATACTTTTATACCACACACTGGCGTCATACTTTTATACCACCCACTGGCGTCATACTTTTATACCACCCACTGGCGTCATACTTTTATACCACCCACTGGCGTCATACTTTTATACCACCCACTGGCGTCATACTTTTATACCACCCACTGGCGTCATACTTTTATACCACCCACTGGCGTCATACTTTTATACCACCCACTGGCGTCATACTTTTATACCACCCACTGGCGTCATACTTTTATACCACCCACTGGCGTCATACTTTTATACCACCCACTGGCGTCATACTTTTATACCACCCACTGGCGTCATACTTTTATACCACCCACTGGCGTCATACTTTTATACCACCCACTGGCGTCATACTTTTATACCACCCACTGGCGTCATACTTTTATACCACCCACTGGCGTCATACTTTTATACCACCCACTGGCGTCATACACTTTCAACCCCTGATACCAACCCCAACCACACAAGTCTGACACCAACTTCTACAGCAAACCCTGCCACCAACCTCTGCTACCAAACACTGCTACCAACCCCCTCCACCAACCCCCTCCACCAACCCTCTCCACCAACCCTCACTACCAACCCACTCTACCAACCCCCTCCACCAACCCCCTCCACCAACCCCCTCTACCAACCCCCTCCACCAACCCCTATCCACCAACCCACTCTACCAACCCCATCCACCAACCCCCTCCACCAACCCTCTCCACCAACCCCCTCCACCAACCCTCTCCACCAACCCACTCTACCAACCCCCTCCACCAACCCCCTCCACCAACCCCCTCCACCAACCCCCTCTACCAACCCCCTCTACCAACCCCCTCTACCAACCCCCTCTACCAACCCCCTCCACCAACCCACTCTACCAACCCCCTCCACCAACCCCCTCCACCAACCCCCTCCACCAACCCCCTCCACCAACCCCCTCTACCAACCCCCTCCACCAACCCCTATCCACCAACCTCCTCCACCAACCCCCTCCACCAACCCCCTCCACCAACCCCCTCCACCAACCCCCTCCACCAACCCCCTCCACCAACCCCCTCCACCAACCCCCTCCACCAACCCACTCTACCAACCTCCTCCACCAACCTCCTCCATCAACCCCCTCCACCAACCCCCTCTACCAACCCCCTCCACCAACCCTGAAAGACGAAAATCCAACAACACCATCATTGTCACGAGGCAGGAAAAAAAAATCAATTTCCCTTAGAGCTCAGCTCATTCCCGGCTTACAAATGGAGCCGGCAAAGCTGGGAATAACTGCTCCCTCGGGAGCCGCGATCAGACATTGATGTCTACGGTGGGGGTTGGGGGGGATCGCTAACTGTGGAGGGGTCTGGCCAGGGGTCTAGACCCCGACCGTCGATGTTTAATTAATGTGTCACGGGGGCGCTGCACTATCAGCGGGCAGCTACACGTGCATTACTCACCCCTGGTCAGCCAGAGATCGCCGGATATGACGTGGCAATCACGGGGTCAACACGTGATTAGAGCTACGCGATACCAGCGTGGCTAATGAGCCGTGTAATTAAACACATCTAAAGCCGATACGCCTCGGCGGCTAAAGCTGGTCTAAAAATAGAATTGATTTAGCGTGAGTAGTCCCAACGTTAGCTGTGAGGTGTGAAGTACAAAGCTGAGACCCCTATGTGACTGACCTCCCTGATCTATGCAGGAGGAAACATGCTTCTCGTTTTATATTGGTATGAAAAAATTATTTCGTTTAGTCTTAGTAAAACATGAGCTCAATGGGAAACTTAACCCTAAAAATTTCCCCTAAAAATTACTTAACCTCAGGAACGAACAAGAAGCCCTGAAGTTATTCCCCTTGACAATACATTAACACTGATCAGAAAAAATTCATAAAAAACGTTTTAATAACAAGCTTTTATGTAATGATGCACTAAAAAGTAGAAAATAAATTATAGACTACTATTTAAATAACTATAAAGAAAAGCGTGGGTCACTTTAGTATCTATTGGATACCTTTACTAATGTTAAGGAAGACACCCACGCTTTTCTTTATAGTTATTTAAATAGTAGTCTATAATTTATTTTCTACTTTTTAGTGCATCATTACATAAAAGCTTGTTATTAAAACGTTTTTTATGAATTTTTTTTCAGTACTTTACATGTTTTATTTACAATAGAGTTACATGACTAAAAACCATTGCGCGCCTACTGAACATCACGTTCAGTAGGCGCGCAATGGTTTTTGAACGCAGCCATTGAAGCTATTGAAGGTGATGACGCGTGTGGTGTGTTTGGCTAGACATGCCTACTAATTCGGTCCAAATTTTAATTAATTCATAAAAAGTTAATTAGGCATCCAATTAAGTCAAATTTAGTTTCAGATTGCATTGTCTTCATGTCTTGACCCACGTGCTAACTTTGAATCGTATCGGTCAAGTAGAACTGTCCGAATTTTCACTCCTGCGTTTCCGTCTAGACTGACGACTGACGACAGACTGACGAGGAAGTGAGTTAAATAAAAGCTTGTAAAAAATTCATAAAAAACGTTTTAATAACAAGCTTTTATGTAATGATGCACTAAAGAGTAGAAAATAAATTATAGACTACTATTTAAATAACTATAAAGAAAAGCGTGGGTCACTTTAGTATCTATTGGATACCTTTACTAATGTTAAGGAAGACACCCACGCTTTTCTTTATAGTTATTTAAATAGTAGTCTATAATTTATTTTCTACTTTTTAGTGCATCATTACATAAAAGCTTGTTATTAAAACGTTTTTTATGAATTTTTTTTTCAGTACTTTACATGTTTTATCTACAATAGAGTTACATGACTAAAAACCATTGCGCGCCTTCTGAATATCACGTTCAGTAGGCGCGCAATGGTTTTTGAACGCAGCCATTACGTGGTCGTGATGGCGCAGCTATTGATGACGCGTGTGGTGTGGTTGGCTAGACATGCCTACTAATTCGGTCCAAATTTTAATTAATTCATAAAAAATCAATTAGGCATCCAATTAAGTCAAATTTAGTTTCAGATTGCATTGTCTTCATGTCTTGACCCATGTGCCAACTGTGAATCGTGTCGGTCAAGTAGAACTGTCCTAATTTTCACTCCTGCGTTTCCGTCTAGACAGACAGACTGTCGACTGACGAGGAAGTGAGTTAAATAAAAGCTTGTAAAAAAAATAGGTAAGCTCTGTAATTATTTCCCTTTAAAATAAACGCATTGATGAAAACCCACTTAAGCTCCGACGTTATTTCCTTTAACATCGTGTAACCGCAGTAATGGAAAGGGCTTAAGCTCTGAAATTAGTTCCCCTTGTTATCCGGCCTCCTCACATTGGCGCGGGAATTTATTGCCGTCCATTATGTGCCGTCCATTCTGTGCCGTCCATTCTGTGCCGTCCATCCCGTGTTAGAGATGGGGGAAGATGGCCGCCAGTTTTACCATGATTAAATTTTCCCCTACAGCTTCCTCCCCCTCCCCTCCCTCCCTCCCCTGTCCATGCGTTGTGCTGGTCGCTGCACAAACTCATCTCTTGTAGTACAGAAATGTGATGCTCTCTACATATGTATATATATATATATATATATATATATATATATATATATATATATATATATATATATATATATATATATATATATATATATATATATATATATATATATATATATATATATATATATATATATATAAACAATTTTGTTACATTTTAAGACAATGTCCTATTTTATCAAAAATTAATACACCACACGTAAATGATTTCTTACTTGGTGTTGATTAGATCAATTCCCCCACCCCCACACATTCAACACAACCACTTAGCGAAATCGGCATATCCTTACCACACAGCCACACACCACATATCCAACACAAGCACCCACCCAGGGGACCACATGTGGAGAAATCGTCTAGCACCCACCCAGGGGACCCCATGTGGAGAAATTGTCTAGCACCCACCCAGGGGACCCCATGTGGAGAAATCGTCTAGCACCCACCCAGGGGACCCCATGTGGAGAAATCGTCTAGCACCCACCCAGGGGACCCCATGTGGAGAAATCGTCTAGCACCCACCCAGGGGACTAGAAACCCCATGTGGAGAAATCGTCTGGTCTTCACAATCCAATAAAAGCCGCCGAGATGTGGCCGCCATGTTTGATTTATGGCCCCGGCCCCACGGGATGAGAAATCAGCCGGACGATCCTATCGTCTGCTACCGTATGATGGTAGAAGTAGTGCTACCATATGATGGTACAAGTAGTCGTGTGCTACCGTATGATGGTACAAGTAGTCGTCTGCTACCGTATGATGGTACAAGTAGTGCT